GGTAATTGTTGGACTTGATGGTCTTAAAGGCTTTTTCCAACCCAACTGATTCTATGATTCTATGTTGTCCTTCTGAAGAAGCCACTGTTCCTACTCACTGCAACACCTCCACAAACTTAGCACAACAGAAGAGTTGAGGCAGAATAGCTGTCTTTCTGTACTGACCTGCACATGTTGCAATCACTGTTTGTTCCCACATTACGTAAAAAGGAGAGAATTCATTTGGCAAAACGATTCATTTTTTGGCTCTTGATTTCTCTGTTGCATTCAGATAGTGATGTGGAACCCCCATTGAAGTGCACCAAACAGTTCTGGAGACATCCTGTTTGCTTACAATGGATAAACAAACAAAAAACAGCACTGCTCTGAAAGGTACAATAGGAACAGCAATGTAAGATTTTATAAACTTCCATTTCTGCTGGACGCTAAGTTCAGGTTTTCAAATCTTCCAGCCAGACAGATGGGGACAGCGAATTAGAGATTCAGCTATGAAAATCTTGTGATTTTCAGTAGGAGTCCCGTGCCTGAAGTCATTTAGCTTTGGAAGCTAACTGATCTCCCACCACAGCCACTATTTGTTGTGTCACAGGTTCAGATGCACATAAACATGTAAACGATGGCTCCTGTTCAGTTCTGTTTCTGAAGCTGCAGCCACAACATCAGTAGCCTAAGCTTTTTGAAGACTTAGCAGCCTGAATGACTACTCCATGCATCTGGAAGAGCTACTCTTCCATGCTGAAGAAAACAGGACCTACCCCAAAATCCAGTCAAGCTCAGAATACATACCAACAGTGTCTTAAATTTATCTCTTTTTTCACTGCTTTGCCCTATAAACACAGCACCCTTTTCAGGTGACAAAGCACGATGCAAGGCCAAATGGCTTAATACAACCTCACTCTGCTGGCCTGTCACTAAGGGTTTACTTGAGTTCCCCTACTTGGCAGTTCTCTCTGTTAACACCACACTAGCACCTTCCACAGACCCATAAGAAAGTAAAGCTTCTCTACAGAAAGATCCAAAGCTTGCCGTTCTAACAAAGCATACGCCTGTTGCACTGGAAAGAGCCAGACATACTACATCTTAATCTAATGCCATTTTAAAATCAGAATCCCGAGTCCAACCACTTTAACCTTTTAAAACTCTGGTTTTAGCAATTACAGGACCCTTTGTAAGTGAGGATCAAGGCTTACATTTTCCAGTAGGTCCCATCAGCTGGTGTGTGAGGCAGCAGCAAAGAGTTTTTTTATTGAGTCTTGACTTAACTGCATACAGAGCAACAAGTTAAAGCAATTCCACCTTAAAAAGCCTACTAAATCTCTTAAGTAGAGCTATGCTCCACAGTGCCCTGACTGCAGAGGTCCTGACAGACAGGGACTGTGATTTTGCTTAAAGACACTGAGAGAAGAAGTATTGTCAAACCTTGGCAAATAAAAAAAACCCTGCAAGCGTGTTAATTGTGACATGCCAAAGAAACACAGAGCTGAATGCGCTCCTCTGGGATCCAAAGTCTGTGTACTGGATACAGTCCAGAATACAAGATGGCAGTTCTGCCCTGGCACAGACCATATTAAAAGATTAATTGCTGTTTCACCCATACACGTGCCTTTTAGAAATCGGTAGGGTGGAAAGAAGACGCAAATGGAAAGACCAGCAAGTGCATGAAGTAGATCACTTTAAAGGCCCTTTAAATTAAAATTCATGATGATAGAGAAGTTTACTATCATAACCTACTGCTACAGCAAATTGTGAGATTTATTACTTTAGGCAGTTGTGACTAAGGTGCATCCAAAGCACTGTCATTCAGACAAAATTGAACAAAACGTCTGATCTGGAGCCTATCAGGTTTTTGCTGCTTATCCTCTATTACACTTCAACTTAAATGTTACTGCTGACACTCTTCAGCTCAGTAAGCACAGAAAAAAACACTACAAGCAGGCACGACTTTCAATCACACAGGACAGCTGTCAAAACCTGAAAAATGTTTGATAAATCGGCACTTGCCTCTCACTGACTTGAGTCATTACACCATGGCATGTAAATGATGCAAACATGCCGCATGAGCTCTTCATCTCAGAAAACAAACATCACCATTGTCAGTATTCAGATAAACAGCCCCTCCCCACTCAGTCCAGTTTTGTTGTTGTTGTCACCAGTCCTACAGATTACTGTGCTCAAAGCGGTGCGGATCTTACCTTCATGCATATGAACTACTGCTCTGAGACATCACAGCACAACGATTCAACTCATGCATCTCTGCCAGGCTTCAGTCAACTGACAATTGCCAGGCAAATGCAAAGCACATTATATAATATCTATGGAAGAGCTACAATGAACTTGCTTTGCATATATCCAAGCTACAGAGAGACCTACTTCCATGATAACCTAATATTCAGCCTCTGCATGGCCCATATGAGATATAATCACCAGACTGGCACAGCCTGGACACAAGGCAGGAGCCAACATTCAATAAAGAATATTCAAAACTACAAACTAAAACCTGTCTAGCTGTAATTAAAAAAAAAAATAGGAGTAGTTGTTCAGCATCTTGCTGCACAGGACAAAAATTAGATACAGGCTCAAAAATTAGATACAAGAGGAGTTTTAGCAATGAGTTAAAAATCAAACAGGAGGAGATCCACACAGATATCAAAGAATCACCAAACTATAGAGTTTCACAAAGCAGCTGAAGTACTTCAAAGCCACAGCAAAGGTCCATTTCTCAGAAGCTGAGCAAAACGCAGAGTCACTGTGGAGTTACAAAATACTGTGTGTGCTATAAGGCACCCCCCATCTTAGCTGTTATAGCAAGCGATTCACTAATGCTGATTTTGTAAGAACTGCCACTTACAAAACCACCTTACAAATTAAGATTATTTATGATGCTTTTAGGAGGTTTAAATAAAGCTCTGAGAACAAATACAAGGGTTTATTTCACTGTCTCCTCTCCATGAGAGGTTCAAACACTTTAAACTGATTAATAAGGTAAACAGAGATTGATCAGGGTCTGTGAATCAATTTAAGCAACAAGGCTTCCTCTGAGGTTCACCTTCTGTTTTGGGAAGGACAAGAGGTTAAACAACCCATACTTCTATTAGGCTGAAAAAAGCCACAGTATTGTTTAATGTGAAAACAGGAATGCTTTTATAGTCATTTAAACAACAGTTAGGATGAAAAGTCCCTCCAAAAGTCTTACAACTCCAAGTATGCTGGCTGAAGTCTACTAAACAATTAGTCTGTCAGAGAAAGAACAGTATTGTGCCATCTTCTCCTTAGTGGCTGTCATGATGGAACTTGGATGAGTGGGGAAACAGCAAAGATAATTCTGCCCATTTCTGTATCACCAACAAAAAACATTGGAAAAATATTCTGGGACCATTTTCTCAAGGGAGCTGACAACTATGTCACCACATTTAAACCCAGAGAACACTGGTATGCCTGGTTAAAAATACTATCACATGCACCAGGGGCAAACATAGAATCATAGAATAGTTAGGGTTGGAAAGGACCTTAAGATCATCAAGTTCCAACCCCCCCTGCCATGGGCAGGGACACCTCGCTCTAAACTGTATCACCCAAGGCCTCCTCCAGCCTGGCCTTGAACACTGTCAGGGATAGAGCATTCGCAACCTCCCTGGGCAACCTATTCCAGTGCCTCACCACCCTAACAGGAAAGAATTTCCTCCTTATATCCAATCTAAACTTCTCCTGTTTAAGTTTTAATCCATTACCCCTTGTCCTATCACTACAGTCCCTAATGAAGAGTCCCTCCCCAGCATCCCTATAGGCCCCCTTCAGATACTGGAAGGCTGCTATGAGGTCTCCATGCAGCCTTCTCTTCTCCAGGCTAAACAGCCCCAGCTTTCTCAGCCGACCTTCATACAGGAGGTGCTCCAGTCCCCTGATCATCCTCGTGGCCCTCCTCTGGACTTGTTCCAACAGTTCCATGCCCTTTTTATGTTGAGGACACCAGAACTGCACACAATACTCCAAGTGAGGTCTCACGAGAGCAGAATAAAGGGGCAGGATCACCTCATTCGACCTGCTGGTCACACTCCTTTTGATGCAGCCCAGGATACAGTTGGCTTTCTGGGCTTCAAGCGCACACTGTGATACTAAAACACTGTAAATTATTTACATGTGTCAAAAAATTAATCACAGGTTTTTTTAACTCCATTTATCTTCCTGCTTTTGATCCTCTGCAGCCATCTCCTTAATTCCCAATAAAACCATTATTTCTCACTTCTGTTTTCCCCACCTAAGAAGCCTGTAATGAAATGCTGAAAAGTTTATCAAATTTCTAATGGAAGAATACCTGTGCAGCAGTACTAGGCTACCTTATCACGTTTTCAAGAAAGCATACTTCTATAGAAGTGGATATTGTCTTAAATATAAATTCTATGATTATGAGAATACATTCATTTCATTACTGTTTGCTACTACTGTATTCCACCTACAGGAGGCTGCACGCATTCTGCTGCTGAATACACAATGAACACAGGTGTTCATTCCTGATATTCTCATCTTTCAGGCAGGGCCTTTCAATTTGTAAAATATCATAACTGAGTAGCAAACCAAAAATCAGCATGGATGCCATCCCTTTCCCCATAAATGTGGGCTGACCAATATAAAAGCTTCCCCAAAAAAGCATGTAAACTCTCTATCTCCTCAAGTCTGTGATAGTGAAGATACTTCATTTATTATACTTTATTTATACTGCTGATACTTCACAGTGCAGTGTACGTTTTCACACATACTTCACAGTGCAATATATGCACTGTGAAGTATATGCATATACCACTATAAAATATATGCACACACTGCATATACTTCACAGCATTAACCACAGTACTTCTCTATGAGCCAGTTCTGCATAACTCGTGTTGGGCAGAGCTGGAGATTCCTTATCCTTGGTTTATAGTTCTTCAGATGTGTCAGGTACTCCAGCTCACCAAATCCCATGTTAACTTAAACTTCCCAGGTTAAAGCATGTCATTACTCACCTTTTTCCCTTCCGTACTATCCCCACTGACATAGGACAGTTTTCGACGGACATAGAAGAGCATATCATCTTGCCGGGGGGCCCATTTCTCCATAAAATATGTTGAAAACATCCAAGTCCAGAACACAATACGGTCATCTTTGAAACACCCTAAAAAGCATAAAAAGAAAGGAGAAATGAGTTGTGGAATTAGCATGTCACATTTGATTGTGCTCAACATGACACACAAAGTCTTTGCTACGCATGGTGCAGTCAAGTCCAAATGTAGCAGAAATACCCTTGCACAGCTCAAAGCTATCTACAGTGTACAGCATAGCTGTCATTCTGCATGAACCCACAGCCTGTCTTTGGCTGTTCTCAACCAAAACCACCTTCTGGCAACCAATCTGCCCCTATGCACAACGGACAGTCAGGGATCATGACTGTGTGGCTATGCCTGTGCCTCAGAGAAGGACAAGACCAGCACGCTGAGCAAGAATACACCAAAAAAGCACTCAAGTAATTTCAAAGACACGTAGCGCCAACACGTACTCCAGATAATGACATGAAGCCATTAGCTGCCAAGAGGTCTATTATATGCTATATAGCCAATACATAGCATATATTGGCTATATAGCCAATCCTTCAGAAACTACCTTACTTACACCAATACACAGAAACAAGAACATACTCATGCAGGTGAGACTGCAATTTACCCTTTCTCTGACAAACAGCAAACCCCAGGTCCTCCTCAAGGAACTGAGGAGCTCTGAATTCCAATTAAACAAGAAAAAGCAGTGAGAGAAGGGGGAAAATAGGAGAGGAAGATGCAACAAAGTCTTGTTCAAGGAGACAAATTACATCAGCAATAGCTTGGCAGTTGGCTTCTTGCCAGGAAAAGGAGGTGACATCACACTTCGTGAAGCTCTTCAAAATACTTCACTGTAATAAAAGAGCAGAAAGTTCTGCATCTCTTCCGTGCCATAACACTTGTACACTGTTAAAGAACAAAATCTATACAGGCAAGAAAAGACGCCACTACTGTGCCCGGTGACAAGGGAGCTGAGTTTCTCCACAGCTCCCCAGTCCTACTGGAGGCTCCTTGATGGAGCAATTGCATCCTCTCCTCAAAGCCCTACTGAGAGATAACTGCAGCTGTTAGAGTTTAGCTGTCCTAAAACCTGTGAAGAAAAAGACTAGAAGCACCACCTGTATTTCTGAGACACAGCAAAACCCTGAAATGGATGATGGGTGGTAGCATTATGTGCAAGACAGCAAAACCAGTGTGTGTGTGGGGGGGGGGGGTGCGGGGTGTGTATGTATACACATGCAGCTGAGAACCTGTCCTTCAGAACATCCAGAACATCTATCCTTTACAGTGGCTTATCTCCCTAAAAGCTATACATCAGCTGCCAGATTGCTACACGCATCACTCACCAGTTCTCAGCTACCATTCAGGTTGGTGTGTTTCCCTCCCAGCACTACACTGCATATAAGAGATATGTTCTGCAGAGAAAACAATCTTGCATGAGACAGGAGTGACATTTATTTACAGTGGTATCTGGATTAAGCTTTAGAATATTTTTTCCAGTCAATGCCAAGAAAGCTGACACATACTCTAACGGTGAACACAATTTTTCTTAGACACTGGTGGCTAACTTCAGGGCTTCATAAAGCAATCAATCAATCTTTTAATCCACAAGTGTAACTCAGCACATTTTCCACTTCACTGCATGTGCAATATTTGCCAGACAAATCTTTCTTCCAATCTTTAATTACTGTGGTGGGCAGGAAATTAGACTTTCAAATTTTTCAGCAGACAAATGGGTGATTGAAATCAAAATCTTGGGTCTCTCCAACTAAAGCCAAAAGCAATATTGAAAACAATATGAAATTCCACTGATGGGCCATGAACAGAATACATTAATTGACATCAAGTAGGATAGTATTTGAAAACATGTATATAGCTGATTGTATTTAAAAACAAAATAAAACGAAAAGGCTGAGAAAGAACAGAAAAAGGCCAAGGCAGTTAGCTCCTATGCAGGTTAATTCCAGGCCATGCTGAAATTGCTCTATTTGCATGGCTGCAGTGAAGTCATCTCAATTACTTAAGGTGCAATAAAGTATAATGTGCAATCGTGAATAAAATCTGCAATGCATTTATGTACTACCCAGTTTTTCCAGCAGAGAAAGGGAATGAAGCACTGGAGAGATGAGATATGGGATGACGGGCACTTGCACCATCTGAACCATTCTCTTGGGCATTGGTGAACAGGTCTGTATGGCGAACAGCTATGTCTGAGAGCTTACCATGTAACAGTGGATTTAAATGTGTTCAGACTCCCAAAACCAGGCTGACAAAAGACAGTTTTATCATCTGTCAGTATATTTACGGATACCCCGAGAAGAGAAAAACAACTGTGAAGGTTTAAGACTATAGTGCTGACACAAGGATGAACGGCTCTAGCACATCTGCAGGTTGGAAATTTGAATTCCATTACTAAGCATTCAAAGTCAGTAAGTTGAGGTGCAGCCCCCTCAGTTGGAATAGTGAAGGTAAATATCCCTGTAAAGATAGAGCTGTAAAGATAGCACTCAGCTTGGTTAAGAAATTTCATGTGGTACCAGTGACAGCCAAGGACATGAAAACCCAGTCCCACTGCTGTATTTAGCCAAGAGTAGAAAACAGGGCATGCATTCATCGTGATTCATTAATGGTTTCAAAGAAACCTATTAAATCTCATGAGGTTTGAGTACTTGAGTTCCCATCCTTAATTAAATGAGGGAAGAGGAGGAAAGGGGCAGACAGGATTGCCCCGAGTTCATATGGATGTTCAGAAGTACACCCCTTTGGTTTTGCTTCATAAATGAGTAAACAAAACCCTATCTGAGCCACTCCTAAACTTACATAAGAATGTATGTTTGTTTGTTTTGGGGGGGAGGAATAGTTTTTCCCTTATAAAGCAAAAATCATTAAGTTATCTAAATCCACCATAATAAACAAGTGTTAAGCCCCTTCTAGATTCTGCCATTACTCACAAAGATCTGAAAAGCTGTCACACAAGCTGCTTACACTATCAGAGAAGTTTTATGCAATAAAGCAGAGAAGTTCATGTGCTCTTCTGAACTATTTATGGGTGGTTACAACAGAGCATTACTACATTCAGGAGAACAGGAGAATGTGGTAAAGTACCAGGACTCTGGGTGCTTTTACCCTTGCTAGGGAATGCAGGACTAACTAATCCAGTGTATTCAACATTAACCTAAACAAAAAACCAGAGGACAGAAGTGCTGCAGCAGTAAAGCTACTTCAGCTCTACAGCACAATGCAGAAGAAAAAAAACCCGGAAAACCCTTATAGCAAAGTTGGATGGCCATCAGTTCAATACCTCACCTGCAACAGAGGAGACGTAAAATCACCCTCCAAGCTTCAGGGATGATTGCAGACACTGATGTAATTAAAACCAGCCTGAGGATGTTCCAACTGTTCCAACTGCAGTGGCTAAAGGACTTTTGAAGCCAAAAAGAGCCAAGTCACTGCAACACAGTTGCTTTTATTAAATTTTAGTAGCAGCAGGAAGGATGAGGAACAGCCTTTAAAACCTACTATGAAAGAGCATTAACTTGGAAAGGAGACAAGAAAAATCTGGAATTGTAATGCAGACTTCCTAAAACTTGAGGGGGGTGGGGGGGGAATCTATTCCAATTTCAAGCCTGAAACTGTCAGATCCAATACATCCAACCCAAGCTTGCCTTCAACTATTAGATCCCCAAAAGCACAGCATACCCTCATAGTTATTTTGGTGGTTTACAGCATCTCACTGGAAGCTTTCCAGCTTTGCTGGGAAGAAACCTGGAAACTGCTTTTAAAGTTGTTTTGGGTAATGATTTTGAAACTGTCAGGCTAACAGTCCAACAGACAAACTTACTCTTTTCAATAGACAGAAGAAAGCACAAAGCCTTAATTTCTCAGCCTTTACCACAGCACCCTGTTGAGGGGGCTCAGCTGCACTCAGGATAGAAGGGGGAACAATTCTGTCCCCACTGCATGCCTCCCACCAAAGTGGACAAACTCAGCTCACAGTTGGATTGCTGATGACCTTAACCCTCTGCTATTATTCTCCATGCTACTGCTATCCACCTGGCAAGGGCTGAGATCAAAAACCAAAACAAGTTTTTCATAGCCTGGACAATCATGAGTTGGCAGCAGCTTTCTATGACATTGGTCCCTCACTGTTTGAGTAACACTCAGAAGAGACACATGCACACACACACTATACTGTTAAGTTGGAAGGCCCTTAATGAAACCCGGCACTTAAAAGCTCTTCAGTATTTGGGGAGACTTTAAAATGCTAACAATTTATTTTGCCAGAGGAGAATTTAAGCCTTCTGCAACAGCAGAATTAGATGATATTTGCAAAGGAATCAAATTCCATCTATAGTTGAGAGCTTGTCGCAAGTCAGCTTCCTGAAAACACTCCTCCCCTAGCAAATTCTGCTGCTAAATAATAAAATGGAATTAAGACTTCAGATTATAAATCTTGGTACACTAAAAGTTGATTATATAATTATGAGACCTTTGTCATAAATAAATCCTAATTACAACAACTTACTGTAATGATTCATTTACATGGATTTTTATCCTCATTAGAAGCAAGATTTATGCCAGCTGCTGTGTAATAAACATCTTTTTACCTATTAGTTTTCTATTCAGCATTCATTTCAGGGAACTGACACCAGATCCACATAAGTAGTTGTGATTATTATTTTTTTTATTAATGCTTTTCAAACTATCAGTGGACAAAGAAGTATCAGCATATTATTTTGCTTCAGAGGAATAGGGGAAAAGATTTTTCCATTTGGTGGATAATCATTTTTTTCAGCATGTATCACTTGGAGATTAGAGGAACAATAATTTCAGCTAGACACTGGTATAAGGCTTGCATGAGTTGTTTTTACTCCTGTAGCCTGCCATGAGCTACTCTTAACCATGCAACATCGTAAAACTCATTTTATCCAATTCTGCCACAGTGCATTCATCTGTAAAATGCGAATCCTTAGATGTTTAGGGGTTAATTAAATGCTTATGAAGTTTTTCAGCCCCAGCATAGAAAGCAAACTACAGTTCTAAGTGATCTGCACTACTTTTAATTTTTTCAGTTTAGCCA